CCCCTTGCTCCTCTGTCCCCCTGCCTCCACACGACCCCTCCGCTCTACTAACCCACGCTCAACCACCATCCTCTACACCACACTGGCGCACCCTCCCCCAATCAAAACACCTGCCCCACTCGCGCCCATCCATTACACAATCCTCAATGCATCAATCCCCCTGCGTGCTCACACCCACCATTTTCACTACCGCTGACTGCCCTCACCTCCCCCCACTACGTTACTCCCACACCTTACCCTCAGCCCCTACTCATAACTCACACCTATAACTTCCTCAGCATCCAGCCAGAGACACAGTGCAAGACCAAAATTAGCCTCCTCATCTTTGAACTTGACCGACGACACTACCTGCACACAATCACGGCATCACGGATGTTCCGCCATTTTGTATCCTCAACCGCTTGACCACCTGACTTCTGTACCTTTTCATTCGCTCGCCCCCATTTACATCCACAACTGTCTATACGTTCGTTTTTTTCTGCAATATAACCACTTCACATTACCCTCCAGACGAACACCTAAGATAACCAAAATGAAGAAGTGGCATTTGACACGAACGTCTACCAGTCGATCCCGCTTTCTTATGCCACCACTTACACTCACGACATCCTCATAAAGTACGATACATCAAAAAAACGCTGGATCTACTAGCTGCACAAGCACCCCTGCCAAACTGTACCACAGCCTGTGATCTGAGTGTCCCCCAAACCCCCCATTTGAACAACCCCGTTCACGTTTGCCTGTTGGCAAAAATAAGCAGTATCTCTACACTTGCAACTACCTTTGCCATTTTCACGTAAATGCCCAATATACCGTCTCAGCCATACACATACCTATCCGCACATACATGAGAATAAACATGAATACACTCGATTATTAATTCATCAATACACAAATACATAAAAGAAACCTGTCGAGTCGGGTTCAACTTCAATTTCACCAGGGGCAAACCGAAAAACTGCCTTTTAAAGAACGCTACGGACACGATCCCTTCGGCTCTAGGTGGGCTGGTCATCCTGCCCTTGACCCAGCTTGGGGGCCGGGACACCAGACGAGAGAGAGACGACGAGAGACGAGAGAGAGACGACACGAGAGAAGACCAAGCAGCAGACAGACGAGAGAGCAACGACCACCGACAGACAGACACGACGGTGGCACAGGCCAAGAAGACATCATATGATGATAACGAATGATGGATAGTGATCAAGCAGATGATAAGACCGACGAACAGCACAGATGGGGGACAAACAATGAGCAGCGTAGAATAATCATAATCAGTACTGTCGGTAATAATCTTACCCAAATACATAACACCTAACATAACCTACTACAGTGACACTACACACTATAAGAACATGAGTGTGGGATATATCCAGCGCAGCCGAAGCCTGAACATTCCTCTTGTCCCGCTCATCCGGATGCGTTCCGCATCAATGATACCACTCATCAAAACAGATACACATCGAAAACACAGCACATCGAATAAAATCATAATTGATCCTTAACCTGGAAACCCCACCACTAACGCAGAAACTACCCATGAATATAGCAAGACTAATCTTTACCATATCTATAATCCCAATCTTAATAGCTCTTGATAACTGACCGCTCTCACTATCATCCAACCACACATACAAAATCACTTCACACTAATACCCACCCAACCCCAACCCATCCACCCTAAAAACTCACACACACAGCCCACTGAAGATGTTGCCTTACCACCAGAATTCAAAGCATCACACTTGCATTACACATCACCGGTAACAACTAACACAATTCCTCACCCCACAGTGGCACCTCCTGCTACATTCCTGCCAGCAGCACAGAATCCCATCAATACGCAAAACCTCCACTTATCCCACACACCAACACTCTGTACATCCCCCCACACACCAAACCACAGTTCCTCCAAACACTTTACAACAACAACCATACATATCACCACAATACATCCAATAACTATCCACAACACTCAAACACACCACTTTCTTATTTATAACCTCATAAAAAAATTAAAATAAAAAAATACACGCTAGATCAAAAATACGAACAGACTTTGTGCTACCACTTCGCCTAGTCATTACATATGAGAACATAATTTATAAACACACACCAACATGAGAGAACATTTCTGAAGCAGTCCAAAACACCACACCACACAAAGAATAAAGTAAACAAACAACAACTTGAAATACAAACTGAAGAAACATAAGAGGAATCCACTTTTATAACGACCATATATCTCAGAGAACATACAAGCCAACACTAAAACACACCATAAACTTACCCCACGCACATAATACATCCACCCACAACGCGTCCAAACTGCTAACCCCACGCAACCGGAAACCTAAGCATTCACAAACACTCACATCCACACCCACCCTTGCTCCAACGGACACTCCTCGACACTGCGCCCCAAAAACCTGCACCTCGCTCTTCGTGCGCATTGCTCGTTTGACCTGCACCTCCACATCGGTCTTCCGATCTGAACGACCAATCATTTTCTTCGCTCTTTCATCAATCCTCTCTCATTCATCCCTTCCCTGTTTACCCTACTTATGCCTACTACCCCCCAACAACCACCTGTAACTCTACACACTCACATCATAGATCACTCACTCTACTCCCATTATACCATTTTATCTCTTTTCCTCCACCTTTTCAATACCTATTTTTTTAGCATTTCTACTTTCACATCAGACCATCTTTTATTCCCTCATTTTACCACTCTTTCAACAAATTTTCACTCACCATACACTCACCCGCGACACTAGCCTGCCTAATGTACTCGCCCCCACGACTAAACATCCCTGACTCTAACTACCAATCAGCCAGCCCAGCAAGGCGCCAACCACAGTCCTTCGCTCGCGAAGCCTTCTTATCGGGCAACCCTGTCTGAATAAAACCTCTACACCACCACCCTCACCAAGAAACATTAACGAGAAACAGCCGTCACTATACCACTAACAGGACTCCCGCGCATATACCCATCCACCACCCCTCGAACAACTCTGCTGAGCACTCAACGTCGCCTCACCAAAGAACAGTAATTGCTGTCCAGCCCACCGCACGCCTCTACTCCCGTGGCTTCCTCTCAAATCATCGCCTGACGTCGCTGAGAGAAAAGCATCCCTCCAACTGCACCGCCTACCCCACGCTCCCACACCAGTCAGAAAAGCCGCAGCAAAAGTGGCTGAACACCCACGCCATCCCTTTTTGTTCATCGAACGCACACCACGCAGCCCCGCGCCTTGCTTTCTAACTTCATCCACCCCCACAGCCCCACACTCCTCCTCCCATCCCACCACACAAATCCATCGTCTTTATCTCTTACGACACAAACTAATGCTTCTCCTTCTTAAAGCAAGCAAATGCCTAACTCTAATCCGACAACAAATCACACATCTAGTTCCTTCGATCTTCAGGCTCTGGATTTTGCATTCACCGTTTACCGAAACTCCTTAAGGAACGAACACGTTCTCCCTCCTCCTTCGCTTAATACCCACTTCCTCAACTAACAACCCCATGTACCCCCTCATTAACGGGAACCGCAGTTTCTTCGATTCGGTCAACCCACCTGTGCACAGCTGTCGACACAGTCATGCTGGCTTATCCCATTTCTCCTCGATCACCATCCCACACCCGAAGTCTGCTCTGACCCCCGCCGAGACACCCACACGTGACGCTACATCGCCCATGGCTCCTGTACTCACTCTAAACTGTATGGGGCGCTCCTGTTGCGACCGATATGGCATTAAGAAGATGCGGGACTACAGTGTTATATGAGCCTGGTATGCCTGACGTGACAAGAAGAATGCTATGGTGGGGAGCCAGTATCCCAACACCCAAAGGTGGAAGTTCGGCCGATTTTAGAATTGGGATGGATTAAAAGTGGTGTGCTGTATGCTGTGCCGTCGTTACATTGAAGGGCGGTGTTCGTGTCAGTGGGGCGTCGCGAGGAGTGCAGTGTGAAATTTTGCTGTAACGTTTGTTGGGGCCCGATTTTCGCGGGTTGGATGATGGTGGGGTTTGGGTGTTGAAGCGGAACTTGGTCCTAGGGGGGAATATACGTGAGGATGCCGAAGCTGTCAAAAGTTGGAGACACTATCAGCTAAAAAAAGGAAGAATTGCTGATGGGGTTAGAATGTTGTGCGCGTATTTGGTGACTGTAGCATCTGTGGTGGGTGTGGTATCGGAGAGTTGGACAGGTTCGTTGAATTTAGCAGTTTCTGGAGAAGTTTTTGTGCATCGGTGTGTAGTGGTGTATTAAGAGCGAAACACGCTCCGGTAGGAGGAGTTTTGATTGGATTCAAAGGTTGTCAGAAAGGTTGGGTCGAGTACAAGTTTCAGAAAGGTCGCAAGACTGCAGATGAAAAGTTTGCTATTGCTGACTCGGGTATGTGGAAAAGCGGTGCCGGGGTGTGTCGGAATTGGGTCAGTGAAGTGTCAGCCAGTAAGAACAGGAGAAGTGGGTGCTCGGGATAAGGAGTGGTGCCAATTAGGTCCACTAAGGCGTTCAGTGATATTCTGTAACCGAGGTCGCCGACCCTAAGACAGCGGTCCTACATAGACTTGGCAGTGGTGTTTAGATCTCCGATGGGAAACGTTCACCGGCGTGAAGCAGCGGTAGCATGAGGCAGAGTAGGTTCAGATACGAGCTCAAGGTAGCGGCCGCATCCTAGCTGGTGGGTTGTATTTGAAGGGAGTGGTAGCAGTGGAGGGGTGCTAGAATAGAGCTGGTTGGTATAAGGGAGGTACATCAGGGTTGTCGGCAGTATCAGTGTTGTTTTCTGGCAAGTCATTGCGGCCTCGGTGCGGATGAGGAGTGGCCATGTGGGGTATGTGTTCGGAATGGTCAGATGGTTAAGATTTAATTTGTGGTATAGGGACGGCCAAGGGTTGGCGATGGAAAGAGAGTGTATCTCAGGATGGACAGCTTTCAGAAGTATGGAGGCAGGGTGCTGAGAACCGGAGACGGTCCAGGAGTTTATAAGCAGTATATTGTTACAGAGGACCCAAAGAGGTAGTCCGACCGGGGGGGGGATGAGAGCGAAGTCCAGGGCGTGTGCGGAGGGCGGGCGGGCGATGAAAAACTGCCTGTGGGTTAGAGAGGGCGAGGAGAAGCCGTGAGGGAGCGAGACGTTGGGGGCGGTGCGAGGGGTGAGGTGGGGGGGGATGGGTGTGCGGTGGGTTGGCCGCGCGGTTGTGGCGGGATTGCCTGAATGTGTGCATTCTGCTGGCTGGCGCTGGGTGGTTAGTGTTAGTATTTAGGCGACGCGAGCAGCAGTGGAAGCACTGTGAGGTGTCCCTAGGTTGTGGTTCGCTGTAGAGATCTAGTGGTGGATGGTATGTATGTTGGTGGCACTGGTGCGACGTGCAGTAAAAAAATACCGGGTAGTGCGCTAATGTGTTCCCCGAGGGTGCGAGGCGGGCGGCGGCGGAGCAATGTGTGATTTTATTGTATGTGAGCTGTTCCCGCGGCGGCCCCTGCGTCGGAGGATGCTAGCCTGCAAGACAACGGTGCAGTGGTTTTGTAGCATGGTGCGAAATTAGGTCGGTGGGTACGCGATGTGTATCGGTGAGTAATGAAGAGGAGCAGAGTATTGTGGTTTGGGGTGCGCTCTGTGGAGGTTTTCCGCCGTGGGGGGTGGGGTATTGGTATGCTCGATAGATGGTGTTTGGGTGTGGCCCAACAGGAGAGGTCGGCCTATAGGGTTTGCGATTGGTCGTTGGAATGTGTTTGTGTGTGTGGGGGGGCGTCGGTCTGATGGGCCCCTGAGGGGCCATTTTAGAGCGGAGGCTTCGGGAAGGAGTTTGGCAGTGGAGCAGATCTGTGAGGTAGGCCTGGTTGTTGAGGGCTTTGTGAGTGAAGAGAAGGACTTTAAATTGGATCTGTTTTTTGCTCATGGTGTTGGGAGTTAAGACAAGGATTTTTAAGAATGGAAGTGACAGCAGCCTGTTTGTGTTTGGGGAACCAGTGCTGAGGGAAGAGGTGACTGGGAAACATTCCTTAACAAGATTGTATGGGATGGCATCCAAGCTGCAAGTGGAGCTTTTTATTCCTACCATGAAGTTGGAGAGCTTCATGGGAGAAACGGGCTGAGTAGTAAGGAGAGGTTAGGTGAGAAGAGGGCTGGGGAGGTGGTCAGGTTGCTGTTGATTGTATTGATTTTTGTTTGGAAGAATGAGAGGAAAGGGTTACACTTGTCCACTGTGAAGGAACTGGAGCTGTTGTCACAGGGCTTGAGAAATGTGTTTATGGTGGAAAAGAGAGCCTTGGGGTTGGTAGAGCGGGAGTGTATAAGATGTGAGTGGTAGGTGGATTGGGCAGTGGTGAGAGTGTCTTTGTATTGCTGTAGGTAGTCTGTGTAGGATTGGAGATGCACTGTCAGACCAGTTTTCTTTCAAGTTTGTCTTTTGGGATGGGGGTGACCATAGTGATTGCCAGGTGGTCAGAGATGTTGAGGTTGAGGCTGGAGAGTTGATGTATTGTGAGACCAGTGGAGCAGACCAGGTCCAGGGTGTGAGTGGGGAAGTCAATGTTTTGAGTGAAGCTGAAGCATTGTAGCAGTTCCAGGTTTGGCTTAGGGGGGTGGTAGATACTAGCTGTGAACAGGGAAGTGTGGCCAGTGAGTTTGAAGGTGAGGTGTTCAAAAGAATGAGCATTAGGAATGGAGATGGTGGTTGTTTTAATGTCCTTTCTGTAAATGGCAGCAACACCACCTCTCCATCCCTCCGGACGAGGTTGATCAATGTATGTGAATCCTGTGGGAATGCTCTGGTTTAGTGAGAAATAGTTAAGGGGTTTGTGCAGGTTTCAGTGAGGCAGAGGGAATCCAAGTTATTGTCAGTTATAAACTAGCGAGCTTGTTTGAAGAGTGCTAGCACAGAGCTAACGTTGGCTTATGACCGAAAGCACAAGTTGTCCAGAGTAAGAAGAAGCGATATGCACCCCAGGAATGTCCACGGGATAGTCTACAGCATAACAACGGCAGAAACCAACAGCACGGTGAGGAGGAGAGGTAGCCAGGAAGGACTACCGGTCTTTTGTTAGTAGTTGTTTTTAGTGGCATAACAGTATAGGGGCTACATAAAATTATGACCACCAGGGAGCCCATGTTATGGGTGATCAGTGCAAGTAGCTTAACTAATACTGAGAAGTAAGGAATTTTCAAATTAAAGAATAAAACAATGCATTGTAATGCATCTTTTTTTCCAGATCTGATAATTGATGTAGACACCAAGTGAGTCATCTTGTCTTCTTCTCATCTCTGTTGAGAGTTGCGTCAGCAGTACCAATCAGTCCAGACCATCAGGACCACAAACACAAGATAGAAAATCACGTACTTTTGCACAGGCTCTGGTCTTTTGTCTGAAACTATTCCCATCCTTCTCCCAGTACTCCAAAATAGACTGGTTGAAGAAGCTGGGATGCTACCCAGAGCAGAGGTGTTAAACAAATCAAACAGCTGTCAGACATCTGATGCTTAAAGTTTATAGACCTGTTTTTCTTTTTTGGGTTTGATTAATTTGAAGTTAGAAGTTAAAAAAGTTAATGCTAAATAAGAGGCATGTGATATTGTAGATGATTCAAATCTTATCTGATGATAATTCCTAACTTATTAGGATTCAAAAAGCAGCACTGGTCACAAAGTCCAGTTGATGAATCACTGCCGAGATGACATCTGCTACCTGGGCTGGTTGAAGAATATCTCAGGTAGAAAAAGAGTCATTAAAAGCCTATTTATAAGCCAAGTAAACCAACACAAATACAAGTTGTATATAATTTGAGGTCATATTTAGATGACCAGTGGGGAACAATTGGTCAAACAATAATCTTGAGAATGAGTATTACTGCTGTACAACTAACTATCCTCTGATTTGCTAGAAATACAGATTTTCTGTCCTGAACATTTTATTTAGATCTACAGATTTTTCTGAACAATCTTCCCCATCTGTAGATCTGCATGTGTGCACATTATCTTTACATGTGGTGAAATTAATCCGTCTGGAAGTTCGAGACAGTCACTTTATCTACAGTCTGTGCCTTTTTATACTCTATAAAAACTATACTTTTATACAAAAATTTTGTTTCAGTACCAGAAGTGTTGTAAAGTAACTACTTCACATAATTTTAACTCCATGTTTTCCAGTGCAAATAATAAGGAGTACTGTATGTACTGTGTGTTTTGTTTAACCCTATATCACAGCCTGTCCACAATAGTCCTCTCTCAGTGTCTGCATCCACTACTTCTATGTATATCATCTTTTTGCAACAGTTTTCTAAAGTTACTGCAAAAATTGCAGTATATAGTGCATAATTTTTTATACAAAACAAAGTAAATACAAAAATTTGAATCGGGTAAACAGAACACCATGGTGTGGATTAATACTCAATTCTGATTGGCAGTAAAGTGTCCATCAATTCCTGATATAGGACTCCTTATTGAAACTGTTCACCATTCTAATTATTGTGCTAAAATAAATTGAATGAAAAAAAGTAATATCTTTTTTACATTGCCGCCCAATTCCAATCTGTCCCCTGCACCCAATTACCTTATTTGTGCGCTTGCATGGAGGGTAAGTGGAAGCCAATATATTTGTGAGCAGATGATAACAAGGATGAGGATGAGGAAAAGATAGTCAAATTTCTAATTATGGCTTTGTCTAAAGCAATGGCTGCTACTTTTGTACGGAGGGGTGTGGATGCAGAGTTGAAGCAAACACAGACCAGTTACTATACAATCCCTAAAGTTTTGCATATATAGAAGTGTCACCCCAAATACTAGTGAGTTCTAACATGTCACTGACCATCCACTGGCTACCTCCATCACAGCTGTCTTCCATGTATGTATTCACCGAGTTACTCTCACCAGTGCAGAATTAACAAATATCGATATAAAGTGACATAACAGTCATACACAGATCTGTATCTAATTTAGGACCACATATAAATGTTGCTCAAATATGAATTGAAAAGATCAGATTCCATGGGTTTTGTGCTGTTCACACTGTCATAAAAAACAGATCTGACTCACATACTGTATGAGCATAAGACTTGGGCCACTTTTGCCTGCAGTGTAACCGTAGCTTATGTTTTGTCCTACTTACTGGAGTAGTGAAAAATATTTCCACTGCATAAAAACGTATGCATGAAAATATAAATTAATGATCTTGTTTTGTTTTCTTTTGCATGTGACCATGGTGTAAGTGAGATAATGCCCTTCAAGGTGTCCATAATTTTTTTCTTGCATTACATTTTGCATTACTTGGCCACCACTGTACAATTATTATTGCACATGTATATATATATGTACAGAAAAAATGACCCACTTTAAACTATTCTTATTGTTTGTTGTAAGCTGCTTTAACAGTAAAATTTCCCACTGGGACTAATAAAGTGTGTATCTACCATTATGATATCCTGGTGTACAATTTTATAGCTGACTGTATCATGTTACTTATCAGTACTATATACTATATTTAGCATCAGCCAGAGACACAGTCAAAAAATTAGTCTTCATTTTGACTTGACGGAATATGAAAATAGATACGATGTTGAATTTTGTATCTCAACAGTTGACACCTGACTTTGTACTTTTCATTGTGCCCCATTTAACATCCACAACTGTTATGTTGTTTTTTTTGCAATATAACACTTCACATTACTGAGAAACAAGATAAAAATGAAGAAGTGGCATTTGAAGAAGTCCTACAGTGATCGCTTTTTAATGCCACATTACACTAGAATTCATAAGTTAGATACATAAAAAACGTGGTTACTGCTGACAAGCTGAAACTGTACAAAGCTGTGATCTGAGTGTCAAACCACATTTGAACAGCCCAGTTCAAGTTTCTGTTGGAAAAATAAGAAGTATTTAACTTGAACTATGACATTTTATAAATGAATATACACCGTTCAGCCATAACATTATGACCACTAACTGGTGAAGTGAATA